CCAGCCCCGCCACCCTAGGGCATCAAAAACTCAAGAGTCATCTTTGCAGCGTGGCTGCCGGGAAAGCGTCCGGCACGCTGGCCCCGCTGCTCTGACCCCGTATATCCGCATCATGTGACGCTTCGCCATCCTTTCCCGAGGCTTTCGGCTGCCTTTCCCCCCCCCATCTCCTCCGCCGAGCCACGCTAAGCTCAGCCCCCCCCCCCCAGCTCCCTCGCTCCTCGGATCAGGCCGGCTCGCAGGCCGTGGCGTGGCCGGCCGTGATGCAACGCCGCGTCAACCGGCGTCAAAACCTCAGCGTTCGCTTCACCTCGCACCTTTGCATCGCAACCCCGGCAGCCGTCCGGCACGGCCCCCCCCAACCCCGGTTCCCCCCCCCTTACGCCTTGCCCCCCGCCTCACCTAACTCGCAGGACGGGGATCTCTCTCTCCATAGCAGAAGGAGATGGAGTCGCTTATTTGGGGAGGGGGGAAGCCCTTTGGCTTTTGAGCCGGGCATAGGCAGCTCCCGGGGCTGCCTCCGTGCCCACAGCGGGACGGCGAGCCGGCAGCGAAGCTAGCGGCTTCACGGCAAAGCTATTTATTTCCCTGCAACGGGAGCTGCGAGCAGCCGAGCTGCAGCTTTGAGCTTTCTTCTTCTTGGAGTGGGTCACGGGGAAGGAACACGTAAAGCTTGTTTGCCAGCCGCATGATTTGGCTTATTTGCTCTCTTGTAGCAGGTGCTTAATTGTGGCATAAAGAGTTCCTGGCAGCTTTCTGGGCAGCCGAATTCCCGCCTGCCCCCCTCCCTGCTAGGCAAAACAAAAGCACAATTGTCACTTTGCAGCCGAAACACCCGGGCTGCAGCGCTCCCACCGACCCCTTTCCCGGCAGAAGGCTTTGCCGGGAGGAGAGAGCTGGTGGTGGGAGGCACCGGCGAGGGCACCGGGGCAGGGGAAGGGGCTCGGGAGCATCTGCGGAGCACGTGGCCGTTACTTGCAGCCCCTCTTCTCCGTGGGAAGAGAAACACAAGTCTCAGCCGACTCGCCGCATCCCACCGCTCCCCAGCGAGCCCACGCTGCGGCATGGCACGGCACGGCACGGCACGGCACGGCTGCCCACGGCATGGCACGGCTGCAAGGCGATAACTCCCTCAGCACCGCTGCCCCTGGCAGGGCTGTAATTAAAAGGCCATTTGCTCCCTGCTCCCATGTCTCTCGCCAATTTAAGCCTCTTGAACTTGTCCCAGAGGGCTCCCATCTGCCCGGCTCCGTAATCACTCTCGCTCCCAGGCAAAGAGCTCCAAACCCGACGGCTGAGCGCTGGGGGTCACGCTGGGGAGCTCGCACCGCTGGCAGCAAGCATCCCTTCTCACCCCGTAGCATCCTCCTCCCTCCATCTCCCCCTCCCCAGCAAGGAATGAAGCAGCTCTCTGGATATCAGAGACATGAGCGGACATTGCTCCAGCCATGCCCTCCCCAGTAAATTTTATGGCTCTCTAGGCTTTAATGCCCGGAGCATCTCCATCCCTCCCAGGTGCTCCCCGTGCCCCTGCCCAGCCTCGCTGGGGGTTGGCATGCAGGTCCCCCAAATTGCAGGGTGCAGGGATGCAAACTCATTTTCCTTTTGCTCCTTGGAGCAGCCAGCAAACGCTCTGCAACTGCTGCAGCCTTCCCAGCTCTGCCCCTGCCAGTGCCCCCTACCCTGATCCCTAAATAAAGCTGAGCTCAGCGTTATTCACCTTGCAGAGGGCTGAAGGACCAAGGCAATGCATCCCCCACCAGCAGCACCCCAGCAAAAGCGGATTTGCAGTGGGGAGACACCCCAACACCCTCCAGCAGCCCCGGACCACACGCTTCCGTGGTCCCCGCTGCCAGAGACCTGCCTTCGCCTTGCTCTGCCCTAAGCCCTGCCGCGAGTTTTCCGCCTTATCCGTGGGGGAACGGAGGCATGTGTCGGAAGGGAGCAAAGAGCAAAGTCCCCTGGAGAAAGTGGCCGGAGGAAAAGTGCCTGAACCGGGAGGCTGGAGGAGCCAGTGCCGCGGCGGGAGGGTACTTACAGGCTGTGAGCCATGGCAGTCATCTTCCCGGCGGGGCTGCCTTTCCCTTGGGTTTCCATCTCTTTCTCTTGGCAGACTCTGAAAGGAAAGGGCAGAAGGGCTCTGTGAAAACACCCCAAACGTGGACGTCCCCCGCTCCTGCACGACGTCACCCCGCTACCCTGGGGACAAAAAAGCTTTGGGAAGGCAAGTCCTGCATGGCCATCTGGGCTGGCCAAGAAGTGTCCTTGTGCGGGGAGAGGGATGTCCCTCATCTACCGAGCGGCTCTGCCCGCCGTCCCTACATCTCACTGCCGGGTCTGCTCTCCCCACGCCACCACCTTCACCGTACAAAGCAGCCGATGGGAGAGACACATAGATACATGCAACAGGCATGCACAAACCCATCCCTTTCACTGAAGCCCTGCGCTGGGTTTCACAGTGCCAGCATCCTCTCGGCCCCAGTGGCTGGCCAGTGTCGTCAAGGGGTCCCCCAGTACCACTCCCCTGCTCCAAGCACCTTACTCTTGGGCTAAAAGCCTTCTCTGCGGGCACATGCACTCCGAGCAGTGCCTGGCTCCCGGGGCGGCCAGCAGACCACCGAGCCCTCCGGCATGTTTGCTTTGGCCAAAGCTTCCCTCCCGTGAGCTCCGGAGCAAGGCAGGGCAGCAGGGTTCTCCCCTCCTTCTCCTGTCACCAGATCAACGGTGCCTGCAGACGTCAGGCTGGAGCAGAGTCCAGCCTGGGCTTCGCTCCTGGCAAAGCCAGCAGACGCCTGGCTCCTGCTGGGAAGTGGGAGTGGGTTTTGGAGACCCACCACAGTGCTTGGTCCTTTCCCAGATCCACCCAGGAAGAGCAATCAGGGTCACCCCTCCATTTTGCTGCTCCGAAAACCACAAATCCTCCAGGTTTTTTTCCTGGGTGATGCTACCAGGGGTCTCCTTGCTCCGGACAGCTGCCCCAGGCATCCGGGTGGGCTCCCGAGCCCCATCAGCAGGACTGGGAGAGCTCAGCCTTCCCTCACCGGGCAGCCAGGGAGGGAGAAGGCAGCTTAGACAAATGGTTTTTATGGGCTTAATGTCCATTTGGACCCAGCAGGCAGGAGAAATCTCCGACCAGCACTCTGCAAAAATGGCAAAACCCCACCTGACCATGATGGGGGAACAGCGAGGGCAAAAGGGCCCTGTGCCGCTGGAGACGGCGTAATGGGATGTGCCACCATGCCGGTGGGGAGAGGACTGGGAAAGAGAGTCCAGGAAAGAGTTGATACCAGAGAAGAAGGTCTAAAACAAGCAAAAAGAGCATTTCTGCACATTTCCTCCCCTGTCCTGCCAAAGCAACAAGGTCTATCTCTGAGCCAGCAGATTGGGGTGCTCTGGAAATTCACTGCACGCACATATTATTACCCAGCCACACGCCTGGATCCCGTCTCCCAGCCCTGAAATACAGCCACCTGATACACCACGGGTGATAACTCATCCTGCCATTGACACCGCTGCAGAATTTCAGGGATTCATCACTCAGTTTATAAATATTTAAACCTGGAAGGAGCCATGTACTCCTGTAAAATGCAACGTATTAGACAAGCAAAGCAAACCTTCCTTTACCCTAGCACAGAGCTAATGAACATCTGGGGCTTTCCAGACAGATCTTTTGCAACTAGAAACCCGGTCAGGGCAAAATTCAAGGTCTCGGTCCACGCGTGCAGGATTTCTGCACCCTCCAGCTGGGACGCATTGGATTTACGGCTCTGACTGGTGCAGAAAGCGCAGCTGATATGAAATTGCAGCTAAGGCTGCTCTTTCAGCTGCTTCCCCCTACCACCCCAGCCAGGTTTTGGGCATGCACGGCCGGTCCCACGCTCGTGGGACGGCTGCAGCTGCAGCCTGAAACATTTACAGGCTCCCCGCCGGCCGGCTGCTTCATGCAGTATTCACAGCCTCATACAGTATTAAGAGCTGCTGACGCCTCGTGAAAAAACTGTGAAAAGCTTCTATTTGGGGAAAGTTCCTCTTATAACGGTGCATCCTGTGGCTTCTCTGTTTCCCTTTTCTCCTGGTTCTCTTGCTAGGGAGAGCAGGGCAAAAATAGGCTGATAGCGTTGCCAACGAGCCTGGGCTCTTCATCAGAAGAGGAAAATAACCCCCTGAGCAAACAACCCCAAGGAATTAATTCTCACATCGCAGCCGGGGAGCTGCTATGGGTGCGGGGTGGGTGTCTGCCTGGTTTGCTGCAGCTTGGAGACCGATGCTCAGTGAGGAGGGGGAAAGCGGAACCTTCCTGGGTCTTGTCCCTGGGTCTGGCTGCAGCCAGCACCCGGCACGGAGCACGGTGCGGGGTCTGGGAGGGCTCGGTGGGGGCCCACATATCTCAACATTTAAAAAAAAAAAAAAAATTAAAAAAAATCAAAGAACAAGGAGTCTGTTTCTAAGCAACTGTCTCCAGTAGGGATGGAGAGCAGAGGAAGGGGAAGAAGCAATGCTGGGTAGGGAGAAAACTTCTGGGGTCCCAGAGCCCCCAGCAAGACCCGAGGGGATGAGGGAGGGAGCGGAGGAGCTGCCCGGGTTTGTCTCAGCAGCGACGGCTGGTTGAAAGGCAGGAAAAGGGGGGACACGGAGGTGTCAAACCACCAGCAGCCAGCACTGGGAGCAGGCCAGTCCCCCCCACCCAGGACAGAGGTTCACGGGTGGGTGAGCGGGAGCATCATCCCCTTTCCTCGCCGCAGAGCCCAGCTGCAAGCCATGGCCCACGGGAGAGCGGCCGTGCCTCGTGCCCTCGCTTGTGCAACAGCACCCGAGCCCACAAAACCACTTCCTACCCTAACGGCTCCCGGCCGAACGAAGCGGCAGCAGGGCTGCCTATCGCCCTGCCAGGTGGTCCGCAGGCAGCGGGAGGCTGCCGGCAAGGCGGGCGGGCAGGGAGGTGACGGCAGCATTTGGTGGCCGTACGGACGTCCCCGGC